TCCCTGGCTCGTGTTGCCCCAGCCACTCCATCCCCCACGGTATTACTTGAACGCCACGTGTTCGTCTCCGCTTATACCCGCTTTTGGAAAAGCGGGTCTGCTCCAGGAATTGGGAGGACGCTTGTCGTCCCCGAGCACCTCCGACCGTTCCTCTCATCGTGGCCTGCTTCCGTGAGGCGTGTGCGTTGTGTTTGCGGTCCCTCGGCGTGTCGTGGTGCTCCGTTCCTCCTCTGAATTTGTTCTCTATTCCCCCTTCCCTTGTGGCGTCCTTTCCCTTATTTGCGTGTTGTTCGTCTCCTGGTCTGCCTTCTCCTGGGAAGCGTACGCGTTCCTGTTAGGGTGCGGCCAAGGCGGCATTAGCAGTGGCCGCGGGGAGAGTGGTGTGCTCCATGGTGAGTGTGGGTTTGCTCCTATGTCCGCGCCCCGTCCTTTGGGCGGACTCTGCTGCCCCTCGTCGCAGGACGCACGTTTCGTGTCAGTCTTCTTCTGGGAGTCGGTCTGGCGCGGTAGTGTGCGTTGTGTGGTCGGCGGCAGCGATAGTGAGGAATGGAAGCAAATCTTCGCGGTTTAATGTGCATCCCCAATTCCGCCGCCGCCCCCCCTTCCCCGTATAGCAGAGCGCCCGCCTTCCAGGAGCAGGCTGACTTGTAACCGGTGTGTCGCGTACCTGGGGCAGCAGAGGTGGAGGCCCGTACAGGCCGCGGGGAAGTTTGAAGCAAGTCTGCAAGGTTTGCATAAGCAGAACCCTAATCCTCCGCTTCCACTGCTGCCTCTGACCCCACCGCTGTCACTTCCCGGTAGCAGGCTGACCTAGGGACTTTCCTGGGGCAGCAGAGGCCCGCAGGCCATGCCACGGGGGAGATGGGGTCAAATCGACCAGTTCGGCAGGGGCAGAGCTCCTCTCCCCTCCACTGCCCCAGGTTCTCAGTACACTTTGTTTCAGTGGGCTTCTGGTAGGCAGGCGCGTTGTGGTCAGGGGGCAGCGGTGTGGAGGGTTGCTGCCTCCCCCAACAGGTGGACTTGCTTTCATCTCCCCTAGGGCCTATCCTAGGGCGGCCTCTGCTGTCCTAGTTTCGCAGGACGCAGGTTACAGGTCTTCCTGCTCCTGGGAAGCGGGCGGGATGTGGTGGAGGGGGTGCAGGGTGCGGGGGCCAACCTGACTGCTAGTAGCTGACACTATCTCACCAGCCTCCAATAAGCAAACTGGGAAATGAGTGTCCCTTCACGGCGGTGGTGCGTGTCGCAACAAAGGCTGTCTGCAAGCCAGGTGTGGGAGAGACGGGAGCCTGGGGCAAATCCTCTGGCTCCTCCAGGGCAGCCCCCCCCGCCATTAGCTCTATATTCTTGCTTGATTTAAAAATTTTGTAAATCTGGTGTATGTGTAATGATATGGTATTTCATCATGTTGTAAACTAACGTATCCTTAATTACTAATAGGATGGGTAGCCTTGCTATATTTATAGGCCATTTAAATTTCCTTACTGTGATGTGCTTAAGTCCTCAGCCCATTTTCTGGTGTAATGTCTTGTCCTCATTGATTTGTAGGAGTTCTTTAGGTGCCTGTATGTTAAATGTTTTTGTCAATGATACCTGCTGCAGATATCTTCTCTGTGGCTTTTTCCTATGGTTCTTTTTAATAAAAGCCTTTTTTTTCTCAAGTAATAAAAAATAATTTTTTTGTTTTCATTATCAAAGGAGAAATCCTCCTATGTTGTTATCTAGAACTTTTCTTTATCTTTAAATCTTAGATCCATCGGAAAGCAGTTTTTATATATAGTTTGAGGTGGAGGTCCATTTAATTTCTAAAAATATGGATAACTGGTTCTCCCAGCAGCAGTTATTTTGAAAGGTTGTCTTTCCCTGTTGCGCAGCATTTCTACCTTCTAAGTGTGTCAAGGGTCTAAATGTTTGGTTTGTTTTTCTGGGCCCTCTTCTGTTTAGCCTTCATTTCTACATCAGTACCACACTATCTTTAGAATAAGTCTGTGTGAATGTTGCAGGTAGACTGCATGCTATGGCTTTAACTGTCAATGGGAAAGTGTTTTCTTGGGGTGAAGGTGATGATGGCAAACTTGGACCCTTCATAAGAATATAAGAATATTTTCTTCATTATGTGCTAATAAGTAACTTACTGATAATAAGAATCAAGGCCTTTTGAAAGTTATTTTGTGGAAAATTGAATAGAAGTTATTTGTGAAAATGGAACTGGAAAATATATCAAAAAAACTCTATGAATGTGATTTGGCCTTACATGTTCTGTTTTAAGGTTTGGTAGTTCAACTAATCTATAGCTGTTGTTTTGACTAAATGTGGATCCATGTAGATGTCCATTTTTTGTTTTTTTCCAAAAGGCTGAATTGATTATAGGGAATATTACTTGATTTTGCACTAGGAACTGTGACAAGCCTCGGTTGATAGAGGCCCTGAAAACCAAGCGAATCTGGGATATTGCCTGCGGGAGCTTGCACAGAGCAGCCCTGACGTCCAGTGGTGAACTGTACACCGGGGGCCTTGGAGAGTACGGCCGCTTGGGACATGGGGATAATAGAACACAGCTGAAGCCCAAAATGGTGATTATACACATTTCTGTTGTTTGCAGCAAGCTTCCCATCTGATTTCCAGAGGAGAGAAGCTCCGAGTCTCAGACTGGTCATGACCTGTGCAGTATTGGCTCTCAGTCTGTGGCAAAAAATTCCCTTGTAGTCTCAGTGCCTGTGCTTGACTCTGTTTTTATGTTTGTAGTTGATTAGGTGAAAGTCCTTGGTCACAGATTGATCCAGGTGGCATATGGAAGCAGCACAGATGCCCAGACCCTGGCTCTGACTGATGAAGGCAAGTCCTGTCCTGACCCCACTTTGCTGGGGGATTGGGGGCCCCATCATGAGGCACGGGCCTAAGGTATGTATTTTTATACCTAGATTTGGCATTTTCCTGGGGTGACGGTGACTCTGGCAAATTGGGCCAGGGAGGCAGTGAGGGCTGTAGCATCTCCTAGAACATTGAGAGGCTGAACGGGCAGGGGGTATGTCAGATCGAGCCTGGAGTGTAGTTCTACCTGGCCCTCACCAAGTTGGGAGTGGTGTGGACGTGGTACGTAAATGCCTGTCTCCTGCCGGCATGTCTGTGTGGGGGCCTCCAGGTAGGGGGAACCTTCATGTTCTTACCCATGTAGGCATTTCTGTATTATTTATGTTGAGTTGGGATTTGCGGCAATGTTATCAGAAGAAACTTCCCATTATAACTGGGTCATTTATGAAGAACCCTGGAGAACTGTAGCTTGTCTTTCTTGTTTAGGTGAGGTGTGTGTAAAGGGTTTCTCCCTTAGTTGCCATGCAAGAAGCCTAGTGGTCAAATGGGTGGGAAATAGATTTCTGATCTCTAGAAGAGTTCAGGTGTATTTCGAGTGAAGGGTTATTTTATTAAATCAGAAAGGAGTGGACTTTCCAGCTGACCACGGACAGTGTAATGGCCTTATCTTTAGTGTCCTGAACCAGAAACAGGTTGAGAAAAAGAATTAGAGCAGAGAGGTGTTTTAAGAGCCGTTTGAGGCTGGACGTCATGTTTTCTATCTGTTTATTTGAAACCTGCATCAGGATCTTCAATATTGTAAAACAGGCATTCAGGATCTTGCTAGCAGAATTAATGAACTAATTTCAATGAATGGTATCCTATTTTGTACCATGATTTCAAAGACCTTGGGTATTGTGTGTGACGTCAGTGAGCTGCTCCAGCACCATAGCAGTGAGTGTCTTCTGGTGGGCCATCGCCAGACTGCAGCCATCTATTAAAATCTGTTAACCTCCTTGCAGGGGGAAGAGGGATTACTTCAGGCTGGGCCATGGCTCTGACATGCACATGAGGAAGGCGCAGGTGGTGGAAGGGCTGAGCGGAAAGCGGCTCATTCACGTGGCTGTCGGGGCCCTGCACTGCCTGGCGGTCAGTGATGCAGGTAAGTGAGTTCGTGACAAATCTTTGTTGTTTCAAAAGTGCAGCTTGTGAGGAAAGAGGGTGAGTCCTGGTCCTTGAAGAACCAGGATGGCGGGCTTGGTCCATTGTGTTCCTGTGCATACCTGCCCAGGAGCTAGTGTGAGTAGAGGCATCCGGGAAAGAGGTGCTGACTGACACAGGTCCCACTCAAATGTCTGATGGGGAGATAAATGTATTTCATGTTAGAAGTAAAGTTATCTTTGACACGTGTTACTCATTCTGCCACGAGAGGCCATGGGCTGACAGGCTTACAGGTGATAAACTCTTAAAATAATTCATTTCTGACAAAAAAATCAGCCCACTGTGCTTCAATCAAAATGAATTAAAAATGAATTATACTTTCTAATTCTGTAAAGCCAAGAAGTACATACTTGAAAAGTGAGCGTATTATTTTTGATCATTTTTCTTTGCAAAATAAAGGAAAAAATAAGTTACTGCATTTAGTTGAAGAGGAAAACCTCTGCTTCCTGTAGCAGAACGAAATAATGAATGAGTTCAGTGCGTTGATGTTAAGTCTAATACTCATCTGTAGTCATTGGCAAGAATTTTGAAATAAATTTAAAGAAAATCTTTAAAAATGTTGAAAATTTTGTCCCCCCCAACCTTTAGCAGGTATATGCTTGGTGTGACAGTGACCATGGCCAACAGGGCCGTGGTACGACCACAGTTAATAGAAAGCCCAGATCACACGAGTGGCCTGTGGGTCTTCGCACAGTGTGGCGTGGATGATGGTGGATGTGGCAACACCCTCTGTCCACGATCCCCCCATCCTCTTCCAGACTGCAAGGGACCCCTTAGATGCTTCCTTTTTAGGTAACACAGATCTGTGTTTTATATGAGACCCTTCCGTACGCTGCACCGGTGTCACAGATAGAACATTTAACAGCACTTCCAAGTTAGAGGCTTTAGCACTGTGTGAGCTGCAGGGTGAACCAAAGCCACAGACTCGTCATGGTGCACTGTACTGGGATTCCTGCTGGGGTGAAAACTCGAGAAGGAGCTAGAATGCGGGTTCTTGTATTATGATCAGGCAGGCTCTGGCCATACTGTGCACCTTTGCCAACTGCTTAGTGTAGGCACCGTGCTGGGCTGCTTCGTGTTTTCAGCAGGTCTATTCAGGTATAATCAACACACAATGAGCTGCACATATTGAAAGTGTCATTGCCATCAGCTGTGACACGTGTGCACCTATGAGAACAGCACCATGGTCAGGATAATGAACAAACGTACAGACCACGTTGAACTTCCTTGTGTGGCTTCACGGCCCATCCCTGCCTCCCACAACCACTGACTTGCTGTCACTATAGATCAACTGGCCTTTTTAGAGTTTTACATAAATGGAATTACACAGTGTGTACTTTTTTCTGAATCTCACTTTTTTCACTCACCATAATTCTTTTGAGATTCATTCACATTGCATCAAAATTTCATTCTTTTCAATTGTTGAGTGTTTTATTTATGGGTGTGCTGCAGTCTGTTCCTTCATTTGCCAGTTGACGGACCCTTGGGTTGTTTACAATTTGGGGGCTGTACAAACAAAATTGCTGGGTACGTTTGTGCACAGGTCTTACGTGGACATGCACTTGCACTCCTCTAGGGTAAGGGCCTGGAGAGGAATGATTGGATCATATGGTAGGTGCGTGTTTATCTTCTTAAGAGACCTACAAACTGCTTTGCAAAGGGCTTGTTCCAAAGCTCCTCCATATTTCTGTCTGTATGTGGTATGGCCAGTCTTTAATTTTTAGCCTTTCTTAAAGCTGTGTAGCGTATCTCATTGTGGTTTTACTTTGCATTTCCCTAAAGGCTAATGAAGTTGAGCGTCTTGCTTATTTACCATCCAGATAAATATGTTTTTTGTTGAAGTGTCTGTTCATATCTTTTGCTTGTATTTAAACCTAGGTTGTGTGTTTTATTACTGAGTTTTGAACATTCTTCATGTATTCTGGGTACAAGTCTTTGATCAGATACATGGTTTGCATGTATTTTCTCCCAGTGTGGCTTGTCTTTTCATTCTCTGAGGTGAATTTTAAAGAGCAGAAAATTTTAATTTTGATAAAGTCCAGTTGATCCATTTTTATCTTTTATGGATCATACTTTGGGTGTTTAAACAACCTTTGTCTAACTCAAGATCATAAAGATTCTTTTCCTGTGTTTTCCTGTGAAATTTCTAGTTTTTGACATTTAGGCATATGCTTGAACTTGAGTTACATTTCATACATGGTGTGAGGTATGGGTTGAATTTCATTTATTTTTGGTGTAGGGATACTCGGTGGTTTCAGTTGCATTTGTTGACCAAAACTATTGCTTCTCTATTGAAATAATGTGCACTTTTGTCAAAAATCATTTTCGTGTATGTGTGGATCTGTTTCTGGATTCTCTGTTCTGTTTCATGGATTTATATTGTGTTTTGTTACCAATACCACAGGGTCTTGATTACTGCAGCTTTATAAAAGACTGAATTCAGGTGTTGCTGATTCTTTAGCTTTGTTCTTTTTAAAATATGTTTTGGGTATTCTAGGCCCTTAGTATTTTCCATGTAACTTTTAGAATCAGCTTGTCAATTTTTATTAAGTAGCCTACTTGGGATTTTGATTGCATTGACTATAGATCAGTTTGGGACAGCTTCACAGTAATGAATCTTGCAACCCATGAATGTAGTACTTCTCCCTGTTTGTCAAAACCTTTACTATTTCTCAGCAGTGTTTTGCGGTGTCAGTGTACAGGTCTTGCATATCTTTTGTTATATTTATTCCTAAGTATTTCATATTGTTTATCCTGTTATAAATGGTATTTTAAAAATTAGTTTTATTCTTTGCTATTGTCTAGAAATACTCAAGTTGCTCCTTGCTATCTAGAAATACTCAAGTTGCTCCTTGCTAGTGTGTAGAAATAGAATTGCTATTTTAAAGGACAGTTAGATTATTTCTAGTTTTTGGCTATTACAGATAAAACCTGCTACGGATATTCATGTACAGCATTTTGAGTCAGTCTTCCATATGTTGAATAAACTCCACTTTGTTTTGGTGCTTTTTGTTTTTGTCTGTTGTTTATCTGCTTTCAGTTTATTGGTTTTTATTCTCATCTTTATCCTTGCTTTATGTTTATTTTGTATTTTTTCTAGTTTTTTGAGGCGAGAGTTTAGATTATTGATTTGAGACCTTTTTTCTAATGGAAACTTTAAGTACCATGAATTTCCTTCTCACTACTGCTTTAGCTACATGTCTCCAATTTTGTTATGTTGTATTTTTTCATTCAGTTTTATGTATTTTTAAAATTTCTTTTCAGACTTGAATTTTGACCTACGAGTTTACTGTCTTGTACCTTATATTCAGTTTGCTAAAAAAAAAAAAAGTACTTTCAGAACTCTTATCTCTCTGTTCATGATAGATAATAGTTTCTAATTTTCTATTACTATTCTCTGACTGGCTGGATAAAGTGATAAATGTTCCCTTTTAAGCTTTCCTTTTTAATTTGTGTAGAATTGGTGTTATTTCAGTGGAATTCACCAGTGAAGCCATCTGGGCCTAGAGTTTTCTTTGTGTAGTTTCTTTTTTTTTTTTTTAACCACAAATTTAATTCCTTTAAATAGCTTCAGAGTTTTTTTTTTTTCTAATTAGGTTTATTTCTTTGATGGAAGTTGAAGTTATTGACATCAGGTTGGCCTCAACATTTGCTTAGTTTTCTTTTAACATTTGTTGACTGCAGTGATGTCAGTGCTTATTCCTTGTGTTGATAATTGTGTCTTCTCTTTCCAGTTAGTCCAGAGGTTGATCAATTTTATTAAGTTTTTTCAAAGAGCAAGCTTATGGTTTCCTTGATTTTCTCCATTGTTTTTCTGTTTTATATTTCGCTGATCTTTGCTAATTGTTTTTTTTCTAAGAAGGTTAGGTCATTGGCTTAAGATCTTCCTACTTTCCTAAGTAGACATTTACTTTTCTTGATTAATTGACTACTGTCATTATGGCAGATTATCCTCTTTATCCCTTTGCTTTTGAAATGTTTTGCTTTAAACTCAGATTTGTCTGATGTTAATACAGATAATATGATACATTTCTTTTGATCAATGCTATATATAGTATTTAAACCATGGTATTCCATATACCATGGTGAGCTATGGTACATATTTTCCATTCTTTTGTTGTTAATAACCTCTTTGTCTCTTTACAGTAAAAGAAGCTTCCTTGTAGGCAACATATAGGTGGATTTTGCTTTTTAATTTTTTTCTCAGACAGTCTCTAATTGGGGTATTTATTCCACTTACATTTAATATGATTATTGATAGATTTGTTTTCTCAGTATCCTGCTGTTTGTTTTTTATTAGTTTTAGCTGTTCATTGTGCTCTTCTTTCTCTTTTTCTGCCTTTCTTTGAATTAATTGTTCTTTATCATTTCATTTTTCTTTGATCTCTACCTTAGTATATTATTTTAGTGATTGTTTTAGGGTGTATATTACGCACATTTCATTTATCATAGTCTACCTGCAGGTGATATTATACTATTTTGCGTATAGTAAATGAATCATACACTAGTGTATTTCTGTTTTTCCCCTCCCCCCTTTCTGCTGTTGTTGTTACACATTTGTATGTATGTTGCAAGCTTGATCTTATTTTTTATTAAATTTTTACACATTAGATTTTCTCTTTAAATAAAGTAAATAACAAGAAAAGAATTGTCTCTGTATTTGCTCATGTAGTTAACCTTTTCCAGTGCTCTTCGTTCCTCTATGGAGACCCTGCTTCTGTCTGGCATCATTTTCCTTCTCATTGAAGGACTTCCCTTATTATATCTTGTAGTTCAGATCTGGGGTTTATTCTTTCAGCTTTTTACGTCTGAACTAATCATTATTTTGCTCTGTTCACAGTATATTTTAGCTGAGTATAAAATTTGGGGTTGACATTGTTTTCATTGAGAATTTGCTGTCATTCTTACCTTTGCTCTTCTGTACCTAACATGTCTTTTATCTCTGACTACTTTTAGGATTTTCCTTCGATTTTCCTGGTTTTTGTCTTCATAGTTTGTGTGCTTGTATATAGTTCATTATACTTCTTGGATCTCTGGGTTTCTAATTTTCATCAAATTTGAAAATTTTTCAGTCATTGTTTCTTCAAAATTTTTTTTTCTGTACCTTTCTCTTTCCTGTCTTTTGGGAGGTCTAGTTTCATGTATGTTAGGTCTCTTGAAGTTATCCCACAGATAACTGACGCTTTGTTCATTTTTTAACGTTTTTTTCTATGTTTCATTTTGGATAGTTTCTATTGCTATGTCTTCGAACAAACTAGTCTTCATTTTCTAATACGCTGTTAATGTTACCAAACTATTTTGATCTCAAACATTGTAGCTTCCTCTAGAATTTTTTTTAAAGAGGTAAAACTTGCTCACTTATTAGCTCTTTGTTTTTTATTGAAGTATAGTCAAAAATAAATGTTTTTAAAATATGTTGTTTTTTTATTTTAATTTCTTTCCATGGAGGTACTGGAAATCGAACCTGGGGCCTTGTGCATGCTAAGCATGCACTCTCCCACTAAGTTATACCCATCCCCCAATCCTTCACTAGAAGTTTGTTTTGGGTGTTGTTCTTCCATGTCTCTGGTTCTCTTCTTGAACATACCTAATACAGATATAATAGGTGTCTTAATTTGTCTGCTGTGTGTAACATCTGTGTCAGTTCTGCATTGTTCAGATGTATTGATTTTCCTTATTTCTGAATCGCAGATATTTTCCTGCCTTTCTGCCCACCTGGTAGCTTGTAGTTAGATGCTGTACATTATAAATTTTACTCTGAATATTTCTGGAGATTTTTGTATGTCTATAAACTTTCTTGAGCTTACATATAATTTACTCTGAAGTAGTTTGATCCTTTTGGATCTTGGTTTTGGATTTGTTAAGTGGATTCAGACCTGATGTTAGTCTGGGGCTAGTTGTTCCGCACCACTGAGTGTTCTACTCAGTCCCTGGTGAATGGTGAGGTCTTCCCACCTGGCTGATGGGAGCAGGCACCATGCCGGCCCCTCTATGCCCTCCCAGCCGGCACGGCGTAGCACAGTCCTTTCCTGCAGTTGGTTCTTTGGCTTTGGGCAGTGCCCTCTCATGTAGGTGCCCATCCGCTTCTGCACCCTCAGCTGGGTTGGGGGGGCACCCGCACGTCTCCAGGGGGCTCTCTGGGCAGCTCTCTCCTCTTGAGTCCAGTCCTGTGAGCTTGGACCACATTGGACTCCCTGGCTCTGAGCTCCACCTCCTGTGCCCACAGAGACCACTGGGCTCCACCTGGTGCCTTCCCTCTGCTGAGGTCTGGGAACCCTCGGGGCAGTGAGCTGGAACACGTGTCCACTAGGATTGTGTATTGTGAAATCTGGTCTTATTGCTGTTGTTCTGGATTCCTTTTTGTGGCATTTCAATGACAGGTAAATTCACAGATAGTTGTTGTAGTAGTGTTTTCACAGCTTACGTCTGTACAGCTGAATTGCTGTAAGTGCATTCTGCAGAAGGATTTGCATCGTTTTGCAGTTATAGTGAACCTTTGCTGAAAGTAGCTTCTTTAGAGAAGTATAATTTTAACTTTGAAATATAATAATGAACCTGATACTTAATCTGTGAAACGAAAATGCATAGTGCAATTTTTTTTACAAATTACAGGAGGTCAAGTTACAGAAATAGAACAAACTGTAATCTTAAAAATTGAACCCAAACTTATTTTTCTTTTTCAGGTATGCCTTCAGATGCTGATTCTTCTGCTGCCGGTGATAAAGTCAGTGGTGCAGATAATTCTAAACGAAATTTGCCCTTCTCTTGCCACGATTCTCTTGTCATTAGGTGGAAATCTGGCCAAACAGCAGGCCTTGTCTCCTATACTTATAGCCCTGCAAATCATGTATGCCAGGTGGGCTTGTTTGCTGACTTTCGAAATCCCACAATGATGGGAGTCTAGGAGAATGTTAGGTTACCGTCTCTAAATATTGTGAGTTTTAGTTCAGATACCATTTGGTGAATGAATGTGCCTTTGTGCTTTCTTGAATGAAGTTAAAATACGAATTAGAAAATCAAGTTAAAGAACATTTTCATTATTCTTTATATCCAATAACCTCTAAACATATTTGGGGGTGTGGTGAGAGGAAGAATTAGTTGGTACTGATACAGAGTAAGGTTTCAGGCCCTCGTCCTCCCCTTCAGTCTTGATAAGGCAGAGTTTTGCCAGTGTTACCTTTTCCATCCTTCTGCTCCTGTTTTCTCACAGCCTGAGGAAGTGGCCCATCTGTCTGTGTATCCTGGTTACGGGCCTGATCATAGAAAGAAATAGTCACACAGGAACTTGACTCAGTAGTTGAAGGACACGTCTCTTTGTCCTAGCTGCCTCGCATGAGGCGCCCTTGGTATTCGGCTTTCATTAAACACAAAATTACTTTCAATCTCCACCAGCCGAGGGAGATTTCACAGGGACAGTCAGAGGCTTTTTCTGCTTAGATTTTTACATTGGCAGTTTTTCTCCTGTCTTCACCGTGGTGATTCAATACGTAAGCTCAGGACTGAATATTTAACTTTTAGCCAGGGGATACATAGTAATAACATTCATTTTTTCCTCTAAAACTCTTTTATACTTACCTTATAAGTCCTATGAGTGCTCTGGTTAGTGCTTGTCCTGCCCTGACCCTGCTGCCCCGCGGTGGTGACGGGCAGCTTCCCCAGGCCTGGCTGTCTCTCCTGACAGAGACGCTGTGGTCGGGGCCCTGATGCCCGCCAGCATGGTCACCCCAGTGGAGTGTCCCTTGTTCTGTTCCTCGGCACCCCCTTCCTACGTGTCTGCCATTGCCAGTCCTGTGAATGGAGAGGAATATGTGCTGGCTGTTGATACTGAAGACAGGCTGGATCCAAATCCATGGCAAGAAAAGAGAGGAGAGGTAAAAGCGCACGGGAGAGCGATGACGCAGCCTTAGATCAGGAAGGAGGAGGCAGCTGCTTCACGTTTAGTGACGTGCGTCACTCTCTCCCTTAACGCAGAGTGTTTATGCTGCTGCTGTGATTTTTGGCTTGAATGAGAAAATATTCCATTTTAACAGGAGGCTTTTTTAGTGCTTCAGTGGAAAGAGATTATTCTTTTAAAAAGCTGCTAAATGCAAGTCCACAGTCCTGTTTTGTAAATTTATTTTTTGGGGGATTAGGTAATTAGGTTAGTTTGTTTATTTTTAGAGGAATTACTGGGGATTGAAGCCAGGACCTTGTGCATGCTAAGCATGTGCTCTGCCAGTTGAGCTATACCCTCCCCTCAAGTCCACAGTCCTTTATTTGCAGCTCTGAATCCTGAAAGCTTTGAAAGCTAAAGGTTTTTATAACTTACTTTGGAGGAGGAGATGTGAGCTCATTTTAGTCCTCTTCATGTGACCTGTTGTGAATATTAATTAATAGGTTTACCTGGAATATGAATGTGCTTGGCTTTGAAGGGCTGTCCCAGACCTCGCTGGAGGTGGTGACTGGTGGTGTAAATGCCTCGTTATGTCTATAAAATCTGGAATACTCTAACTGGCCCAAAGGGTTTTATTTAATAAGGCTTTTGGAGGTGAGTGGGAAGTGTGCCGTGTTGCTGAGTCTCTCCTCTTCTGTTTCTGAACTAGATTGTCTCTTCTGAGGATGCTGTGACCCCCTCTGCAGTGACCTTGTCTGCTTCCTCAGCTTCTTCTCAGCCATTTATCCCAGTGACAGATGACCCAGGAGCTGCCAGCATCATTGCAGAAACCATCACCAAAGCCAAAGAGGTCAAGGGGCTTTCTTCTTTACATTTTATTTTGAAATAATCTTAAATGTACACACAAGTTGCAGAAGTAGGACACAGAAATAGAGCACAGTACACTCCTGTGTACCATCCACCTACGTTCTCTAATTGTACTCAGATTTTGTCCCAGTAGCATCCTTTATCAGTCTAGGACCTGGCCCAGGGTTGAGTGTGGTCTCTTTGGTCTTCAATGTGGAACACTTTTTCAGTCCTTCCTTTTGTCAGAAACACCACAGTGCATCACAGTGGGTGTGTGATGTGCTGCGTAACTGGTGATGTGAGGTCTTACTACTTGGTCAGGATTCTCTGCCAGGTTTCTCCACTGGAAGTTAGTAGAAGAATGGTAGTAAATGTTCATGGGAGATGCTTGGAGGCTGTGCTGATACCTTGTCCCTCATTGTGTTTTCACCTCCGAGTTTGCAGTGTCTGTGATGATTCTAGCCGAGTCCATTATTGCTGTGGTGGGGTTCTGTGGTCGTTTTTCAAATTTCGTCATTCTTTTTGGACTGTCTTTGTTCTTCTGTAAGGGAGGACTTCCCCTTCTCATCTCCTTTGTCTATGTTGGTGTAGAATCGTGGGATCCTATTTTACTCAAATAATGACATACATCACTGTCATCATTTGACACCCAAATTGTCCCAGACTTGGCCATGGGGAGCCCTTTTCAGCTGACTTATATAATTGAGCATTTCCTTCCTTTCTGGCACAATAGTGTGTTCCAAACTCACTTTTCACCTGCCCTGGCCTCGTCCCGGAATCAACCATTTCTCCAAGGAGCCCTGGTTCCTTTTGGTGGATCATAGGATTTAGAAACAAGATCTGGGAGCTTGGTAAGCTGGTTACTCCTGGGTGTCCTGGGTTTAAACCCTCTCAGCAAACAGACACGCACACACGCCCACTTACGCCAGAATTTCTCCCTTGACATCTTACCTGTATAATGAAAACCATGAGTGGTTCAAACCAATACTTTAAATTTCAGTCCAGCACCACAGGGTTTATCCTTGTGCTCTCCCTTTCTGTATTTTAGGTGTATAATCTTTTTATATGTTGCAGGATTGCTTTGCTGTTTTGCTGACTTTTGTACCTGTATTCATAAGGTATACTGAGCTGTAGTTTTCTTATTACGTCTTTGCCTGGGTTGGGTAACAGTGATTACACTGGCCTTCTAGAAGGCATTAGGCAGTGTTCCCTCCTCTTCTGTTTTTTAGAAGAGTTTGTGAAGGATTGGTATTAATAGTTTTAAAAATATTTGATAGAATTTTATCTGTTCTTTTAACATGTTCCCATCATTCTTTTATTTCCTTGTTTCCTGGCACAACACAAAAGTCTAGGTTCAACAGTATGTTTTATGCTCCAGCAGAGAAATTAGGTGTTCCTCCAAGAAGTCCTGGTTCTTTGTAGTCGGGAGGGTATTTAGTAGCCAAGTTCTGGGCCTTTGTGTGCTCATTGCTGTTGGGAGGTTGCTGGTCACAACTCTTTTAGTAGACAGACCTAGGAAGGGTGTGTGTATGTGCACGTGTGCACGTGCATGTACCCACACAATAAGTTAGTAGGTTATATTAATACCCTTTTTGTTATATATCTACATGTATTGAAAACCACTGGTTCCTAGCAGTATAGTCAATTCTAATAACTGCACAGGGTTTACCTTTCTGTTCCACCCCTCTGTATAGATAACTTTTCTCTAAAAATGAGAAGCCTGTCCCCTTATGGACAGTGCCATAGCTTCCCCTTAGGTAGCCTGCCTCCCATTATGACTGCCTCTCCTCTCCCACATGGGCACCTCCTTCCCCTGCACAGCTTCTGGTGCTCAAAACCAGTTTGCCCTCTACAGGGATGACCTCTCACCCTGCTTGACCTATGACCTCCCCCACCCTACACCCCAGGCCAGCTGGCCCAAAGCAGGGACACCTTCCACTTGGCTTGACTCTGTCACACCAGTCACCCTCCCAGGTTGGTGCCCTCCCAAGCCTGCTCAGGTGCTTCCTGTGCCAGGCCCCCTCTCCCTGCCCACACTGTCTCCCTGCCGGCACATCCAGCTTGGGAACACACAAACATTATTTTCAATTACATTTGGAACTCTTGATTTATTGTGGTGTTGCTGCTGACAGAAATATGTCCTATGGGAAGTATTCATAACCATCTATGGTAATAAGAAAATTGCTATTTACAAATTAGGGGTCTGAACTCAATTTGTGATACTTGGCAATCTTCTAGGATGAGGGTTTAATGCAGAAATTATCCTGAATTCAATGGGACGTTTTTGCTTTTAGGTAGAAGAGGGATGGTATCATTTCTTTCCTACCAAATCGTGAGGCACAGGTGTTATCCAGAGTATTCCCCTAAATTCCTACCATTGCAGTTTTGGTTTGATTCATCAATTATGGCAAAGTAATTTTCATGTTTGTTTTGGGCTATAACTCACATTCAAGGAGATGTAGCTAGTGATTTTATTTTTAAGCAATTATCTTTTTTTCCCCTCTAATACCCCCACCAAAAATTGTTAGGTACTGTTTCTCACTGTATTTAACTTGCGTATTCCACTGAATGCTCTTGCTGCTCTTCAGTGAGTGAGATTCTGGAATGTCATTGTTTCTGTGAACTTCACATGCTGATTCCCTGGGTCTCCGCTTAGAGGTAGGAGCAGGATCTGTTTTCTTCCAGGAAGAAACCGTGCTTCCACCTCAGTGCACCTCAGTGCTGGTTTCTAGGGGCCAACTTGGGCACTGATGGCACTTGCATATTGGATGGGTCTCATTGCGCTGAAGGTTCCTAAGTGGGGCTTGTGCTTCCCCCAGCTCAGTTGTGTTTGGCAGTCAGGTTTCACTGAGATCCCAAAAGCAAGGGAGGAGAGAAGGCGGCATCTCTGGCATCTTGTTCTTCCTCTGGTGAGCTGAACTCTGCCTGTGAGACTGAAAGGAACCAGGTCTACCCCTGTTCAGCATGGGGTCTCAGAGATTCCCACTCCTGAGCTCAAAAGCTATGGGATCTCCCAGCTCTGATGGCTCCCTGTTCCTTTCTATAGGTCAAGTCCCACTGCCAGTGTCCAAGAGGCTCTTGTGTGGTGGGCAGCAGGCTGGGGCTGGCTGTCCCAGGTGGGGCACCCTCAGGAGGAGGGGTGGAGGGGGCAGAGATGCAGATGGGCGGCCCCTTTCCTCTGCTGATGTGGAAGGGAGGTCAGTGACCGCAGGTGTGGTGTGTTTTAACTGACACACTATGAATGGGAAGTAAAAGGGGACAAGAAAAAGGAAGAGAAGACTTTTATCTATTTTCTTTTTCAAAGCGCCCAGGGAACAAGAGATTTTGGGCAATGTGTTACACGCCAGTGAGTCCGTTAAATAAGATTCTGGGAAGGAATTATGAAGAAGATCTAGAAAAAATTGTAAAAGTACAATGTGCAAATGAGAAAACTCCCAATCACCCCCTGTGGGTGGGGGCAGGGAATGGATTTTATGTGGTATGACTTCATTCCAAGTCTCCCCTTATAAGGAACACCTGTGCTGTGAACTTGCTCACAGTGTAAATTGTCATTTCTTCTGAGAGCTGCTGTGGGTAATTCATAAAATAGTTATTTGGTCCTGAAAGCTTAGTACGTTGTGGTGGAGATTTTAGGGGCCTGTCATGTCTTATTTCATGGTATTTCATGGCGTTAAATGCCTCATCAGGTCCCTTATTCCTCAGTGGTCATCATGTATCCTTGGAGTTTATGGATAAACTGGTGACTGTTTATCTCTGGACACATCTTTCCTCATTTTACCCGTTGGACTTTTTAGGATGTTGAAAGCCAAAATAAAGCATCAGGCCCAGAACGTCAGTCCTCGGATGAGTTCACCAGTCTGCTGGTCACGGACAACACGTGTACCTTGGACCTGCTCAAGCTGACTGTGCAGCCAGGCGGCGGACAAGGGCAGGGCCGTGCTTTCGGCCATGCTGTCTGGCATGGGCACCGCCTGCCCCGAGGTGAGCCATGGGTGGGAGGGCAGGCAGGCGGGTGGGAGGTGCTACCACCGTCCTGTGCTTGAAGGACTCCTGGGAAAAATGAGTCCTTTCTCCATGTCCTGTGCTGCACTTGCTTCTCACGTAACATTTTGAAATCAGTTTGATATTTTAGAATTTAGAAATGTCTAATTTTTACAAAGTAGGATCTGTCAGCTTTTTTCATTTATGACTTCAGGATTTTGTATTCTGCTGAAAATGTGCTACCAACATGATACTGTTTAAAGAATTCTCCCAGGTTGCTTCTAATTATTTTTATTACTTAATTTGTTCTTTTATTTACTTTTTTGAGAGATGAAGTAGGGATTCAACTTTATTTTTTCCTAGATGGTAAACGTGTTGCCCCAACATCATTTATTGAATCATCCTCCTTTTCCTCAGTCATTTGAAGACTACTTTTATCATATTCTAAATTTCTGTGTGTATTTGGGTCCCTTTATTGACTCTTTTCTGTTCCATTAATCTAATTTTTTTATGCTTTAATACTGCAGTATTTTAACTATTAATTATTTAAAATAGGTTTTAGTATTTGCTAGCACTGGGTTCTGTGGGACTTCCAGCTGTGGTGATGTTCTGTACCTGGTATCCACCAGCCACATAGGCTGTTGAGCACTTGAAGTGTAGCTGGTGCACCTGAGGCAGTGAAGTTTTAATTTTATTTAACTTCTTAATGGATTTAAATTTCAGTAGTCTCATGTGGCTAGTATAGGGTGTACGGTCAATGCTATGTTAATATCTCTTAGAAACAGCTGACCAGTCCTGAAGCCCTTGGGCTTCCTGAAGGACTCTTGCTTATCAGTGGCCTTGTTCTCTGCCTTTTCAGAACTGGCCATGTGAGGGAGGCCAGTGCCATGTGCTCTGTGCAAGTGTGTCATCAGTGTGTCTGAGTTCCATATCACTACCACCACCACCATAAAGTACTTAAATATGGCTGAGTGGCCTTGAAATCATAGTTATGGTTTAGGAACTGTTTTAGGGGTATATTATTTCTTAATTGTATTCAGGAAGAACTAAAAAGTGGTAGGTTTCCTACTTATAATTTTTTGAGGCTGATTCTGAGATTACATCAAGGTAGATTGGCATAAGCAAAATACTGTTTTCACAAGTTTACTGCACTTGTGAGAGGAAAGGATGGAATGAGAAGAACTCGGATCTAAAGTAGTAATGCCCCATATTTGTTGTACACACAGCTATGAGGCCTGGTTCTCGGTGCGTTAGCTCAGTATGGAACACAGGTGTTCCCTTTGTTTACAGATAAGGCAACTGACGCTCTGAGAGGTTGTTAAGTGCCTCAAAGACACTCGAGTTGCTGGTGGATGGGAGAAATGATGTCAGATCCTGTGCACTTTTAGGGCAGAACTATAACTGTGACCCCTCTGTCACCCTCTCCTCGGAGCTTGTTCACCCCTCCTGGGGGACTGACTGGATTTCAGAGAAAGTTTCTAAGCCCCAGAGGAGCTCTGGTGGGCTGTGCATTAAGGTTTGATGATGTCAACGTCTCAGATTCAGGGGGAGAGAGAACCAAAGATGGGATTGTCTTCCAGCTTTCCTGGCCCAGTGGCAAGATGCTACTCCTATGTCCTACACTGACCTAATTTGGGGGACTTTATTAAAAAAGAGAAACATTTGACTGTAACAATAATGCCTAGATGGCAGCGATCTTGGTTTGTCATTAATAAAACTACTTACTAGGCTAATCTATTTGTTACCTGATACGCTATGAGAAAAAAATAGATAAAAACAATCATTTATTTTTGAAAAGTACAGAATAGAAAATAGTTTCATTGATTTTTATAAATTTAAAAATTTGGCATTTACTGTGTTACTGCTGTAATAACATTCTCATTTGTTTTTAAAAATAGCAATCAGGGAGTTTATAGTCAGCAGTATTAACCATTTCAATGGTGTGAGTAACTAAAATTTTAAAATGCAATCAACTATGGATTGTAGGGAGAATGTGGTTCTGGGGGCTGACCCTCAACGTCTCTGGTCAAGAGACACCCCCAGGTGTGCTCGTATTTGTAGCCCTCGTTTCAGACAGTCTGCTGCTGTTTGACCTGGATGGCTTGGTCATTCCTCTTCATGCCTCTCCTCTCCTGCTTGACCCCAGTGCCTTCTAGGATCTGGGTCATTTTTATCACCGTGCTGCTGCTTCGCTTGATAGTTTTGTTCCTGAGGCCGACTTTCCTCATCAGGTTGTGTATTAGAAGAGATTCTTGTAATCAGAGGCCTTTTGTTTTCTCAATTGGTATGTGTTGGGTGTTTTGTGTGTGTCAGGTGCCTCCTGGCTACTTGTACCTAGATCTCTACAAGCATCTCTGTGAGCTCTGGGCTGTCTTGATTGTAAAGGTGAGGAAACCAAGCCCTGATTAAAAATAGATTTCTCAGACTCCCAAATGCTTCACTCTGCCTCATCCCTGCAGAAAGATCTGGATCAGAGTGGGCATCCTGACATCCTCCTGCTTTGTCCCCCGCTTCCTCCCACAGGTGGCTGATACGTGGCTGGAGCTCTGGGTAACCGAGTCGGAGGACATAACCACAGACTCAAGAGTGGCCACCTGTCCTCCCAGCCCGTGGTGGTGGAGAGCAGCCATCCCTACACAGATGACACTTCCTCCAGTGGCACAGTGAAGATACCAGGTACTCAGGGCTGGTCCCAGGGAGGAAATGTGGGGGTCCCTGCCTGTAGAACAGCTTCATTTCTGCCATGGCATCAGTGGAAGCAACTGTCAATGTTTTATAGAAAAGCTACAGAATTGCACAACTCCCTCCTAGGGTTTGATGAACTTCCTAGAGTATCTCGCAGAACTCAGAGAAACATTTACTTACGTTTACTGGTTTATTACAAAGTATAGGAAAAGGGATGCAGGTGAATAGTCAGATGAAGAGGTGCACAGGAGGGTGTTCTGTAAACGTCTGTGAGGTTAAGGTGTAGGTGGTCTTGTTGAAATCGTCTGTATCTTTACTGGTTTCTGTCTACTTGTTCTGTGAGCTGTTGCAAGTTGGGTTTTGAGATCCCCAGCTGTCATTGTGGATTTGTCTCCTTTTTACTTTTCTATCAGTGTTTCCTTCGTGTGTTTTGGGTCTTTGTTATTAGGTGTGCGTATCTTTGTAATTGTTACATATTCCTGATGGTCGACCCATTTTTCACTGTGAAATGTCTCTGTTTTGTCTCTATTAACATTTCTTAAAGTCTATCTTGTGTAATATTAGTATAGCCACTCCAGCTCTATTAATGGTTACTGTTTGCACGGTAGATCTTTTTCCATCCTTTTACTTCCAACCTTTTATGTCTTTTAAGTCTAAAGTTTGTCTCTTGTTATGCACCTTATAGTTAGCGCTTGCTTTTTCTTAAACCAGCCTGATAGTCTTTGTCTTCTGGTTGAGATGCTTGGGCCATTCACACTTAATGTAAGTATAGATGTGGGTGGATTTACTTCTCTTAGTATGTGTATATTTGGGAATGTTTTTATTTTGCCTTCATTTTTGAAGGATAGTTGTGCTGGATATAGAATTCTTAGTTGATAGAATTTTTTTCCTCTTACCACTTTAACTTTGTCACCCTCCTGGTTTCTTGCATTCATTGTTTCTCAGGAGAAGTCATAATCATATTTTAGGTCTTTTTTTCCTGTTGTGGCTTTCATGATTTTCTCCTTGTCTTTGGTTTTCAACAGCTTCAGTCTAATGTGTCTGGGATGTGGATCTTTGTGTTTATCCTACTTAGGGTTTGTTAGTTCTTGGAGCTGTCGATTAGTTTTTCATCCAATTTGGGGTTTGGGGCTGTATCTGTTCAAATACTTTCTCTGACCCTTTTTTCTCTTCCCTCTTTTTTTTTGTGGGGGTGGTGCAGAATTCCCATTATGCGTGTTTGTATACTTAATGGTCTCCCAGGTATTTGAGACTTTTTATTCAGTCTTTCTTCTGTCCTCTGGATAGAGAATAATAGAAATTGCAGTCTTAAAGTTGTAGTGATTCTTTTTTTCTGCCGTTTTAGAGCTGCTGTTTTGTCCAGCTGGTCAATTTCTTATTTTGGTCACTGTATTTTCTACCCCCAAAACTTCCTTTTAGTGCTTTTATCATTAAATCATTGTTATCATATTTTCCTTTGTTACCATGTTTTCTCTGGTTTTCTTCAACGCTTTGAACATACTTATTACAGCTGCTTTGAAGTTGTTGTCTGCTAAATCCAGCATCTGGCCCATCAAAGTTAGTTTCTGTTAACCAGTTTTCTTCCTGAGTACTGCTCACGCTTTCCAGTGTTTTTGTATAGCTCATAATTTTTTATTGAAAACTAGACACTTTAGTTTGTGATGTGTCATCTGGATTCTGACCTTTTGTTTTTAAGATTTTTAAATGTTGCTACAGTTCTTTGACTGTTTTCTATGTTTGTTTTGTAACATCCCTGGAATGACTCTTTGAAATCTCCTTATCGATGTCACATAGCTGTTGATGTCATGGCTTCACTTTTCTATTTTCATTTTTGTTTTCTAGCCAGACTTCTAGGATTTGCTCCATATCTGCTTGGCATAGTGCCAAAGCTTGCTGCATTTTCCCTTCTGTGGATGGATCTCTGCATGGGTGGGGCAGGGAGGGCGTGGAAGTCAGTGTTCTGACAGCTTCATGTTTTCCTGATCTCATATGCCCTGGGTCATCCAAACCTCCAAGGTGTCCTCACTGAGCCCATCTCTGCTCTCTGACTTCCAGGGTTTTCCTGCTTAGATCTCTGACTAGTTCTCAGGTCTGGGATCAGGGTGCCTGGGTGGGAATTGGAAGTGCCTTCAGGCTGGCACGCAGAGCCCTGTAGCCTCCAACACTAGCTGTGCCAGATCCCCCACTGGGAGCAGTCCTGTGTGATGGGAGCTCGGACTTCCCTGCCCCACCCGCAGGGTGAGGGGTGAGGGGGTCAGCTCGGGATAGGGGTGCACTTGGAGTGAGGGGGGATCCTGAGGTGAGGAGGGCAGGCTGAGGGGTAAGGGGCGGGTCGGAGTAGAATTGACCCACTTGAGGGGTAAGGGGGACCATTAGGTTGTTGGGGGTCCTGCGGTGAGGCATGAGGAGTGAGCTTGGGGTGTGGGGGCCATAGGTTAATACCTAGCGGGGTGGAGTGTGCTGGCTGGGACCTCGGTGTAAGGAAAAGGATCCCCATTTTGGGGGGTCTGGTAGGCGACTGGGCCTGGCCAAGGATGGTGCGGTCAGTAACAAGAGAGGAGGAGGCAAGCAGCGGGAGTGGGGCTGGGGGGTGTGGCCTGGCCCTGGCGGTGGTGTTTCTGGTTGAGTGCCAGGACCTGGTCGGTGGCAGAGTAGGGGTGTTGGGTATGGAGACTCAGCTGGGCAGGCAGAGGGTGCCCTACCACCCCACCGCTCCACTCAGCCCTGCTCATCCCCATCTGGCATCACTTGGCCCTACTAGCCACATCCTGAATAGCGGGAGCCTCAGCCTGAGGGTCCACGCTTCTGGCGGGAGGAGGAGGGGCGCGCATGCGTGGACCCACAGACGTGCGGACGTGGGACCCTCTCACAGCTTGTGCAAGTCGGGCGGGAGTTGGGCGCTCCTGGGACCAGCTCCCGAGGAAGAAGGCGGTCTGGGGACTGGGCGGCCGCTTGCCTTCATCTCCGCTGCCACTGCGGGGCAGGTAAGGGGGCGCTGGTGGGGGCGCGCAGGTCCCAGAGCCGGAGGGTGGGGCCTGGGCTGCTCAGTTGGGGAGGCGCACAGGTAGGGGTGCATGGGTGAGGCCCAGGCCGTGCCGCCCATTAGGACCCTGAGGCCAGTACGGGCCGCCGCCGTGGTTCATGGTGCTCCCTCCCCTGTTAGTAGTCTCTGAACCCCGCGTCTTCGCTGCCGCGTGTTCCCGGGTTTGGGAGAGCAGGCCACCCCCGGGAGGTGTTGGGCGCTGGACGGCCCCGGGGCACCTCCGACCGGCCCTCAGGTCGTGGCCTGTTTCCAGGAGGCGGGTGTGATGCGTTCGCGGGGCCGCGGTTGGGTGGGGGCTGCTCCATGAGAGCCCCTGTACTCTCTATTCCCCCACAGCCTGGGGCGACCTCTGCTTCGCCATGTTCGCTTGAGGCACCTTTCGTGGTCAACCTACTTCTGGGAGGCGACGTAGTGCTGTTAGGTTGCGGGGACGGTGGCATCGGCGGCAGCGGTAGGGAGGGAGGTCTGCCCCTTGTATCTTGTTGATTTGCTCCGATCTTCCCTGCGTTTTGTCCTGGGGGCGGTCTTTGCTGCCCTAGGTTCGCCGGACCCAGGTTACAGGTCAGTCTGCTGCTGAGAGGCGGGCGCGGTGCGGTCAGTGTGCGGGCGTGGCAGCAGTGACAGACGTAAATGGGAGCAAACCCCTGCGCTCGCACAAGGCAGCCCAATGCTGCAGCCGCCGCCTCCGCCCCCGACTACCCCTGGCAGCACAGCGCCCGCCTTCCAGGAGCAGGCTGACCTGTAACCCGAGTGCTGGGAACCTGGGGCAGCAGCAGGGCTGAGGCCAGGACAGGCCGCAGGGGAGTTTGAAGCAAATCCACAGGCTCTCATAGACAGACCTCTAAACCCATCTCTGCCGCCGCTGCCAGCCCTCCTCACAGGAGCAGGTGGACCTAGGGACATGCTTGGGGCAGCAGAGGCCGCCCCCTCCCCGGCCCTGTCGCGGGGTAGATGGGGTCAAATCAACCAGCCTCCACTGGCAGCTCCCCTCTCCCGCCGCTGCCCCAGGTTCGCAGGACACTTGTTCCCAGGTCAGTGGGCTCCCGGGAGGCAGGGGCAGTGAGGTTAGAGGGCGGCGGCGGGGAGGGGTGCTGTCCTCCTCCAGCAGGTGACTTGTTCCCATCTTTCCTGGGGCCTATCCTGGGGATGGCCTCTGCGACCGCAGGTTCGCAGGGCGCATGTCTTCATGTTAGCCTTCTCCTGGGAGGAGGGCGCAGTGCAGTCGGGGCAGCGTCTGCGGTGGGCAAGGACTTTCCAAGGACCAAGCTCTAGCCCAGGATAACTAACTCTTCTTTCTTCTCTTGTTTCCTCAGTTGGTGGCTGTAGCAGCTTTTCCATTATAGGTTATTTTCAGATATTGAATGTAGATTTCTGAGTTATACAGAAAAAACTTGCTCTTAAATTGATTTTTATATATAGTGGCTAATATTTGTTAATCTCAAACTCCCAAATTTATTCCTTCCCTGGTAACCATAAGATTGTTTACTAAGTCTGCAAGTCTGTTTCTGTTTTGTAGAGGAGTTCATAGTGTCTTTTTTAGATTGCACATGAGTGATGTATGGTATTTTTCTTTCTCTTTCTGGCTCACTTCACTTAGAATGATGATGTCTAGGTCCATTGATGTTGCTGCAAATGGCATTATTTTATCCTTTCTTATGGCAGAGTAGTATTCCATTGTATAAATGTACCACAACTTCTTTATCCAGTCACCTGTTGCTTCATTTAGGTTGCTTCCATGTGTTGGCTATTGTATATAGTGGTGCTATAAATACTGGGAGGCAGGTATTTTTTTCACATTGGAGTTCCCTCTAGATTTATGCCCAGAAGTGGGATTGCTGGATCATAGAGTAAGTCTATTTTTAGTGTTTTGAGGAATTTCCATAATGATTATACCAAACTACATTCTGACCAGCAGTGTAAGAGAGTTCCCTGTTCTCCACACCCTCTCTAGCATTTATCTTCATGAGCTTTTGAGTGATGGCCATTCTGACTTGTGTGAGCTGATACCTCATTGTAGTTTTGATTTGCATTTCTCTAATAATTAGCGATAGTGAGCATTTTTTTCATGTACCTGTTGGCCATTTGTAGTCTTCATTGGAGAAATGCTTATTTAGATCTGCCCATTTTTGGACTGGGTTGGTTGGTTTTTTGTTATTAAGTTTTATGAGG